AATATTTTTAAATAAAATATTTTTAAATATCAGAGAATCTGACAATTTTAGCCTACTTTGTTGATTCTCACCACAAGCATATAGAATATATAATTTGTATACATTGTTGATACTTTAAATATATGGATTATATACATATAAGGGGATATAGTAAAGTATGTAAAGTTATTTATTGTTTGCAATATCTATGATTAGTATCCTAAATATGAACATATTAATTATATTAGCTGCGTTTCAGCAAACATGATCCGCTCAATTTTACATGCAAAACAAAAACAATACCCCATTGTTTTTGCAAGACCAGCAATTGATCTGGTTCGCTTTTTGGTTCAATGTGGAATGTATGTAAAAGATAAAAGTGGAACGTATTTTAATGCAAATGAGGTTGGCAATGCGACGCAACGGTGTAGAAAAATTATAAACAAATAAATCTACATTTATATTTATTTATTTATTATTTATTTTATGTACTTATTTATTTTATGTACTTATTTATTTAATATGTCATTATTATTTATTTCTTCGTTTAAAGTAATATTTTAATTATTACTATTATTATAAATTAAAATTATTCAAATTAATTAAAATTATTACCTTAATTATTTACGTTTTACTATTATTAAAAAAGTGTTGTTTGATAATTTATAAAAATCAATTAATTTGAAATGAATATTTAAAAATTAAGTTGAATACATTTATTTAATTAAAACAGAACAATACATAAGGAAACAGGCTCTCCAACATACACGTTTATAAAAAACCATTGCAAACTACCTGCAAGTTTAAGCTATATTCATGCTTCCTTCTGAAATAAGCCTAATTGCTAAGGTGAGGTTCATTTATTTTAACATGTGTGCTGTCAATCACGAACGGAAATTTTGTAATTGATATAAGCTAAACACTAGTTCTTTCAACTATTCTGCATACAGAAGCTTTTGGTATGCCAAAACAAATACCAAATTCGCGAAAAGTATTTATATTTGCCATATACCACAAAAATATGTAAATTTCCTTCATTGCTCTCGTTCAATTGTGACCACCACGGTTATTTTGTATTTGCTGATTGGATTTTATTAACAAATCTATTAAAATATAAAACATAATTAATATATAGCAATTGTATTTTTTATGCGCAAACACCAATCAAATAATCTTTAACGGGACAATTATTGATCGTTTCCATAAAATTTCCACTATATCCATGCTGATGCACTTCATCCCTTGAGCTTAATACACTTGGACTAGTGTTTAAAAAGAAAATGGAGAAGTCAGTTTTGCTCGATAATTCTAATAAAATCTGCAATTTCCATTTATTTACTATAGAATTAAATTGAAGATTTCATATTTCAGACATATCAACAGATTTTATTTATTTTCCACTTTTTAGATTTTTTGTATTCAAAATTTTCTCACTTATTTTTTTAGCGCCAAAATTATTCACATAAATCAAAAAATTTTGTGCACAAACCCAACTGGCATATTTCATGCGTTGCCAATTATTTTGAAACGTGATCCGTATCGTTTCAGCAAAGATGATCCAGATCATTGAGCGGATCATGTTTGCTGAAACGCAGCTATTGTTATATTTGCAGTACTGTTAAGTAGCATATAGAAGTTATTTGTATATATATATTGTTGTTTTCTTTTAAATTTTCGTTTAAATTTCATTTAAATTTAATCATGGTGAAATACGTGCAAAAGTTTTGAGCATATTTATTTGTAAATTGTTAAGTATATTGTATATATTTCTGTTTTCAAGTTACAAGTTTAGGTGTGGATACTTGAGATGCATATAATTGATTCTTCATAAAAAATTTTTAAGAGATAAAAATTACAAATATATAATAATGGGTAATTGTATATATAAAATGGGTGATTATACATATTTTAATGCTTTTAATGCTTAATATAATGTGTAGTTTGCAACTTTGGTAATTACATCTATTTAGAGTTATTAATTTGCGTCGATTTTGCCGCTCAATAGGTAATTTTGTTGGTACCTTCTCTAAATATGCTTTCAATCCAAGTACTATAAAACGCGGGATTATATTGTATTTTTGTGAACTATTCCACTCTATGCCCATTGATCGATATATTTGTTGATAGATATATAGTTGATCTTGTATTTGCATATCAGTATTGATTGGCAATTTGACATAACGTGTTATTCCATTATGCTGGTATAAGCCCATATGAATTGAGATAGGTGACTGTGGATCCCGACATATATCTTCTATGATTTCAGTGGGATTACCTTTGCCGGTACAAAAGATTCCTATTCCGCATATTTGACAACTGACCATTAGTATATGGTGACGCGGAGTTATAGTAGTTGTAGAAGAAGAAATAGATCGTAAGGACATGTTTAGCATGGTATATAATGTTTCAGAGCGTGAGAAAGGTTGAATCTCCTTATGGAAGATATTTGTTGTTTGCATAAGTATTTTTGATATTTCGTCGCAGCTGAATACAAGGCTTCTCCTATATCGACGTGGACGCGGACGTTTATCTTGCAAACCAGGATAGGATGATGTTCTTATATATTTAGTTTTCAATTGATAACGTGCGTATGTTGGCTTTTGGATGTATCTAGAACTTTGTTGCATATACGATATGGAGATATGATGTAGCACATCTTGGATCATTGCGTATGGATAAGCATTTATCAGGATTTGTGTTATACAATTATATAGATCCCGTTCTAAGTACTCTATACTAGTTCTATAAATAATACGTCGTAAATGATAAAGTAAAGTTGATCTTTTGACTTGGAAGGAGATATGTGACGTATAGTGCAGTATCCTCATTGACTGTTGTTTTTTCCGATACAAGGATATCAGATATCCAGATGGTGCACGTATGATATTATAATCTAAATAAGATATGGTTGGATAATTGTCAAATGATGGATTTTCGGTTTCTATCTCATAGGTGATTTCATAACCCACCAACTCTTGAAATGTATCCATAAAAGAAGTTATATCGTGTCGTGACATATACAATAGGACATCATCGACGTACTTCCACCAAGAATGCACTTTGTGCTTATGAAATAAAGCTGGAGTGTGGATCTCTATTTGGGAGTCGAGATGAATTGTTGCCAGGATTCCAGAGGCTGCACCTCCCTGTGGTAACCCTTCTGCCTGAATATAGCATTTATCTTCAAAGGTAAAATAGTTCCCAGTATTTAATATATACTCTAATGCCATATTAAGCATTGATATGGGTATAGGACATGATTCAAGAAACCAAGGCAAGCACATAAGATTTTTCAAGGTGCGCCAGAGGGATGTTAAATTGGTTCTTGGATACATGTCTCTTATGTCCATGGACACGAATACATAACCTGGTAAAGGCTGAAGCTGTAAGATATGCCCTGTTAAACAGCTCATATTGATCAGATTGTGTGCGGACATGCGGTTTGACAAGGTCCTTTTTAACACATGATGTATTAACTAATGGAGTGGATGGATGTACCAACCTAGCGGACTGCAAATGGGCCTCATAGGTTGCTCCTTTTTGTGTAATTTCACGGTGCCATATAGATATGGTAAGGTAGGACTGGATATTGTTAACATTTGTTGCTAGCTTATTAGTATAGACTTTGGAAATGAAGACGGTTCCTGTCGATGCCATCTAATAAGTGGCTTAACTATTCTTGGATATTTTGCAGCTAAGCAATAAAACAAGGCTCGTTGGTTTTCTGTATACAAAATGTAGGATCCTATCTCTAGGTTATGGTTTATCCACACATACATCTTCTGTATATATTCAGATCTTTTCATCAAGCATGTAGACTGGCCTTTATCTGCTTGTATTATTATCAAATCTTTTTGTGATTGTAAATATTCGGAAGTATACTTATATAACTGAAATAATATTTGTTGAGTTTGCTGAGGTTCTTGATAATCTTCTATGGCTTTTAAAAATTGAGTATAATGCAGCTGCATCTCAAATGGACTTTGGTAGTTTAAATTTATAAATTGATTCTGATATATTTCATTATAGCTATCCAAAGCTACGTACAAGTCCTTTATAGTAGGTGTTTTGATAGGGCTATACTTTGGGCCGAAGCTCAACAATATTTGCACTTCCTTTGGTACCTGGCGACCACTTAGGTTATGGAACC